TTTGGTGTGTTGTTTTGTGTTGTCATGTGTGGTTGTTTGTTTGTGTGTGTGTTTGTTTGTTTGTTTGTGTTTGTTTTTGTTTTTTTGTTTGTGTGTTTTTGTGTGTGTGTGTGTGTATGTATGTGTGTATGTGTGTGTCTATGTGTGTGTGTATGTGTGTGTCTATGTGTGTGTGTGTGTGTGTCTGTGTGTGTGTGTGTGTCTGTGTATTTCTGTGTATGTGCGTGCGCGTTTGTGTAGGGGTGGTGAGCCTTTTATACCGGCTAGCCTTTGAGGCCATCCGTGGGTGTCTGTTGTGCCTCTATCTCCTTTGTATTTGTGCGCGCTCCGTGCGAAGTTTTTGCCGGCTAAGGCTGCTGCTGAGCTGTCCGGAGCGTCTGTCAATCTTCTGGTATCGCGTGCTGTTAACTGCGTGTCTGCTGCACAGCTAGGCGAGCTTCATGGTCGTGCCTCAGCGATGAACTGTGAGCTGCAGCAGCAAAACGCCACTTTGATGCGGATCAGCAGCGGCGTGGAGCACAACAAGGAGGTCATGGATCAACAAAGGAAGACCATCAAGCAGCTGCTCAAACAGTAGGCACACTACGCGCCTGGTGGGAGCAGGGGCGTAGATATATATATATATATATATATATATATATATATATATATATATATATATATATATATATATATACATATATATACATAGAGAGAGAGAGACAGAGAGAGATAGTACGGGGGAAAAGCTTTGAGGGTTGTTTAGGTCTTTGTAGGGTTTGATCTCCGCTTGTGTGCATATGTGCTTGTGCAAGAGCCTATTTGCCTCCTTGCCAGCGTCTCGACAACACATCTGGCACCGTGTCGGTGTTGTCTTTGGCTCTGCATGCCTTCCCCTTCGCACGCAGTATAGCTCTCTGCAGCTTATGGGTGCGTGACTCTCGCTAAAAACGAATTCGTCCATGTGTGTTTCTCTGCAGCTAATTGGGGTCGCCCCACCAAGGGGTAGCACTAAGATCTAGGGGCCCCTGCGTCGTGTACTAAGCCGTGCTGGGGTGGCTTTTGCTTCTCGGAAGGCGTACTTCCCTAAACCGTACTACATCATCGCGTAGATTGCTTCCAAAGCAGAAGCGACGCGGGAGGCATAGGGTCGAGTAGCGGTTTTATTGTCTATTTTTTAAAAATCCCGCATTTCGTGGTTCAAGTTCTGAGCGAGCGGCGCAGACGCGGAGCAGTGCGTAGCTCTCGCAGGCCGTGAGTCTTATCGAAGCGCTGTCTAGCGTAGCCGCTGACATAAGTAACCGGGTTCGACGCAAAGGCTATTACCAGTTCTCGAGAAAAGCCGAGGGCCTAGATTACTGGGGACGGGAGGGGGGGTCCGAAGGCTTATTAAAGCCTTCTCCTAGCAAAGCTCTCACAGAGTTAAGGAGAAGGTGGGAGAAGGCATTAAAAGATGTGCTTGTAGACGTAACAGCCCTACGCACAGACGCTAATCTGGTGCTTTAAAACCACCTTCCTGCTCATCCCTCTTCTGGTCAAAACTCTTTTCGAGAAGGTAATGAGCCAGGAACTCGACGGGAGCACGGGGCCTTTCCTCGCAGAGGGCGGCGAGCGCCGGCATTAAAGCCGGAGCAACTTGTGTTTCCAAGTATTCTTTTACGCCCATTGTCAGGGGTGTTGTCGGAGGGGGACCCTCGAGCACGCTACGCTCGCTCAAGAAACCTCTCCCTTCTCCGGAGGTATTAGAAATGGGTACTTCTCCGATCGGTGCGAGGGGCTCCTCGCTAGAAGTGCCGCCGGATTGCTGCGCCGTCGTCCCTTCTACGGAGCTCACATGCGTGCTCCGGCGGGCGGAGGCAGCTGCAGGGGTTGCATCTTCAGTCCCTACAGTAGACAATCGCACGCTACGCTTATGAAGGGGTGCCTCTGCACCTGCGCCCTCCGAGAGGCCGACGACGCTCATTGTTCCTTGCTGTAGCGCACAATCGGTCTGCGTCTGCCTGCGCGCTTTTGGCCTTCTCCCTTTTCGCCCTTTGATTGACAGATGAGTAGAAGCCCATTAGAATGGGGACCGCGAACACCCTATCGGCCTGGGTGCAAAAGATTGCGTCAGCCTCTATCTGTCTTTGAACCGTCGCGCAGACAGCCACAAGCGCAAGCCTGCGGGCTGCATCGGTAAACCTGCCTTAGCAGCTACCTTCCCTATGAAAGTAACAAACTAATCCAAGATTGCATGCGTTTCAGGAACTACTTTCATAGACGTGGGTGGAGGTCTACTTGCTGTAATGCGTTGGCCGTTTGAGCCAGTGGTATGGCAACTGAAGGTGCACTGTGCTGCGCGTCTCAGCGACGCCGCTCTACTTAACCGGCTCTTGCGAGTTCCTTTTTGCACAAAATAATACGCCAAGAATGCACCGAGTGTACCCTGCCTCGGGTTTGGTGGCCACTATGAAGCGTATCGCGTGGAGGTGCAGCTCAAGACCTCGTTGCAGGCCGCAGCGCGATGCCCCTCAGTGACCTCCCCGTGCGGCGGTAGCGTGTGAGGGGTCGTGTGTGTGGACGTGTAGGCCAGCCGCCAGCAAACTTTTCAATACATTGACATTAAAGGCAGATATTTAGATAAGCTCTACCTCAAAAAGGAACAGGCAATATCGCGCGCCTTCGCTGGCATGCGCAAACACAGAACGGCAGGTAGCACACATGCTCGCAGACTTGTCCCTTCCCGCGCTGCATCTGGCGTGTTTTTCTAACGATATAGCTAGAATAAAAGTGTAGAAAATTCGAAACGCACTGATGAAACGGGGCGAAGGAATGGCACAGAGAGAAGACGCAAATAGTAGGGAGCGCGCGACAATGGTAGTTGGCCTGCTGAAAAGGAAGTATGGATCAAATCTCTCTTAACGTTGGGAAAAAACTTTCATAACTGTATTCTGAAGCCAAAATGGGTTCTCGTGTGCTTCTCACGGAGGAGGCTTTCGTTTTAGGGCCCTTGGCAATTCAGATTCATCCACAACCCCCTTCTGTAGCGCACCGATGCTTCCCGCGTCGCTAATTCTACCCCTACCCCGGGAAAGCGTGCCAAGGCAACACCTGTCGGATGCTTCCTCTCCTCTCTACCAGTGCATTATATCAATGCGAAATGCTGCGCACTGAAAGTATCGTGGATTCTCAACTAGTTTTGCTTACTCACATAACGCCCACAGATTTTCGCCATATTCCAGATTCCCAAAATGCAGGCCGTGCAAGAAGAGGTCGCTACCGAGACCCTTCCTCGGGAGTAAGATGACGAATTTGCGAGCCCCCACGTGTTTACCCATTTCCGCACTGTTCGAAGCGTTTCTCTGCTTTTGAAGGCACTTGACCGTAAAACTGAGGTCTTTTGCTCCCACACGCAGGCTTGTGCTGTCGTACGTGTGTAATTTTTCAGGAAATGGTCCCCTCGTCGGTTCGCAAGGAAAAACAGCAGATGGCTGCTGCCTGTAACCTTCGTTGTTCTTCTTGCCAGCGCTTTCATGGCCGGGCGCAGCCTTCGAAAGCTCGTGCAGGAAAGGAAGCTCCTTAAGGAACAGGCCCTGGAAGACGGAGAAAGACAGAAGGAGGCCGCTTTCATCCGTGATGATATCTTCAACATTGAAAAGACCCAGGATCTTCTTCAAAACCAGGATCCTCTTTATAACCAGGATCCTCTTTATAACCAGGATCCTCTTTATAACCAGGATTTTTTCGATGGCCAGGAAGATGATACCCAGAAACGTGATACCCAGAAACGTGATACCCAGGAACATAATACCCAGGAACATAATACCCAGGAACATAATACCCAGAAACATAATACCCAGGAACATAATACCCAGAAACATAATACCCAGGAACGTAATTCCCAGGAAGATGATATCCAGAATCATTATACCCAAGATCATTTTTATACCCAGAAACATGATACCCAGGAAGATGATACCAGGGGTCCTCATTATGCCAAAGATCTTTTTAATGCCCAGAATCTTAATGCCCAGCCTCCTCCTGATACCCAAGGCACTGTTCATCTTTCTCCACCTTTAAATCTCCAGAGCCCTGGTCAGTCCCCGCTCCATTCCAATGTTCATCGCCGTGTTGTTCCCCAGAATCCTAATGCCCGGCCTCTTCCTAAAACCAAAGGCACTACTCGTAACCCTCCACCTTTTGATTTCCAGAGCTCTGGTCATTCCAAGCTCCATTTTGATACTCGTCGCCCTGTTGATCTCCAGAATCCTATTGTCCAGCCTTCTTTTAATACCCAAGGCACTACTCATAACCCTACACTCTTTTATTTCAAAGGCACTGGTCTTCCCAATGACCAATTTATTACTCCTTTCCCTGTTGTTGCTGAGCATCTTAATGTCAAGCCTCGTCCTAAAACCCCGGAAATTCCTCATGCCCAGGACGCTAGTGGTTCCCAAGACCCTTTTATTTCCGAGGACACTGTTGATCCCAAGGGCCCTGAATATTCCAAGGGCTTTGTTAATACCCAAAACTTTTATGTCCCGGCGGAGACTCTTAATAGCCCTGGCTTCCACAGGAGGGATTTCATAACCGATCAGACGAAGGATACCAGTCCTCCACTCTTTGAGGAGGTGCTTTCCTCTGTTACCTCCACTGACGGACATGCTACCGCTGCCCAAGACGCTGAGAATACGCCTCGGATCCTCTCATCACCACCACCTGGTGCGGGGTCCAACATCCCTGCTGGTAGCACTATTCAAATCGATGAAGGGGGGAATCGCCGTGCCTCACTCCCTTATGTGCTTCCTTACAGTAGCCTTGATTGAAAAGCTTCCGGTGTTGCAGATTCTGGCCAGGACAGCTTAGATTAGCAACAGGGACGGCTAATGACGGCAAGTGGAAATGCAGAAGGAAGCCCTTGAATGCAGCCAGCAGAATGCAGGCGCACAACGGAACAAAGGCAAATGGAAATACACCAAAATTTCAAAAGTTAACAGCAAGCGCGGCCTGTGGGGGAGCAGACAAGAACATGACAGCTAGCCAGCAACAGAGCCATACATTTAGGATCTCTAGGATTTGCCACCCTTCAGAGCATCGCCTCCTCCCCTCCGACCCTCTCTCTCTGCATCTTCTTCCATAGGCCAATATTCCAAGCGGTGAAGTGTGGTGGGCTTTTCTTTCATACATGAAAATGTCTCTGAGCCGGCGGGAGAAAAACACTGAGAACGGGGGGAGAGGTGGCAGAGGGAGAGGATGCGCATGCACGCGCCTTCCCACACCCCCGAGAGGCTCGGCTGTTCGACTGCGCCGCCTCTACTAGCGCTTTGCTCTCCAGAGGTGATGCAGCATGCGACCTGCTCTTCTGCCTGTGTGAAAGCGCACTGGCTGCTTCTGCCCCCACCCCAAGCCAGCTTGTGCAGCAGCTGGCTACTCTTGCATCGCACTGTCGGTGCCGTTAGGAGGGAGGCGACTGCTTGTCTCTCCACTCCTCTCCCTGCTGATATCTTTCTGGGAATCCGAGTTCTGCTCATTCGACGGTGACTGAGGCCTGTTCGGAATGTCATCCCAGATCTTGATATCGGAGTTTGGTCTGTAGGCAGTGGCCTCGCTCCACCTGTCGAGGTGCTCTCCTTCAGCTGGATGTAGAGACTCTGTGGCAGCGAGCAACGCGCGCATCACCTCCAGCTGCTGCTCTGTCAAGCGCCGAGTCTCCTCTGCAGCAACGGCACAGGACATCAGGCCGGCGAAAGAAACGCGCATAGACACGAGGAAGCAGAGGACGGCGTAGCAGCACTTGTTTTACCCGCAGGAAAGGAAGGACGCTCCAAGCAGGCATCAAACAGGCAGAGAGAAGCAAGGGCCAGTGGCTGCATGCTTCCGCGTGAAAACCTACCGCCAAAGGCGATTCCACTGCGCAGCCACTGGCAGAAGTCCTCAATTTCCTCGGTGGTATGCAAGGCAGCCTACGCACAAATCATAACCGTGGATGGAGACTTGCGTGCTCGGTAGGGGCGGACGGGGGAAGTCGTCAAAACGAAAGCCTCCGAACTGAAAGGCACGTGGAAGAAGACGGCGGTTCACGCAGTGTGTGGCTCACATTCGCAACAGCCCTCATGTCGGCAGCCCGAGGAGGTTCTTGGAAAACCTCTGCTAAAATTCCCAAGTATTTCGCCTTGCCTGCAGCCTCCAGTCGCAAGCGCGCGGTGCACCTGAGCAGTCGCACGCGCAAAGTCTGTAAATGTTTAGTATGCCCTTCGCTGCGCATGCATGCATGCCCTTCAGAACATACTTTTGGACTGCCGAGCCGGCAGGAATAAACGTTAACCATATATATATGTATATGTGCATATACTTTTCGAGCTGCGGCTGGAGACTGTGCGGTCAGGTAGCGAAGATTTTGCATGCTTGTTTGAATGAATGAAGTGGAAAACTGCGCTTTATAAGATAATAGAGTTCAAGTGTAGGAAACACCTCTGTCTAAGGACGCGGAGTGCCGTGGCAGCGAGTGGCTTGGGCGGGTGCGCATTGGAGGCCTCTCTAATCTTGTGGTTTAGGAACGCGATAAGATGCTCGTCAAGCCCCCCTAGAGCCGCCATGCGATCCATGAGTTCGTCTAGCTGGCGAGGTTTCCCCAGCTGCAGCGAGCAGGCATGGTGCGGGCAACACACAGAGCCACTCGACCCTCTACAACAAACTGCCGTCCTCCTCTCCAAGGGATCGAGCGTTTTTAAGGTGTGCTCTCGTTGAAGGGTGCGCTCAAAGGAGAGATGCGAAAAGCTTTTAGGAGTGAATCTGTTCTCAGACTTAGCGTAGACTTCATTGAAGTGCACTTTTAGGCGGTCTTACCAGCATAAGCCCCAGAAGCCTCTCCGTCTTTTGTGCGGCTACACGCGTTCTTAGGAACGCGGCATGCCGCAGCAATTGCGGTGCCAAGTGCTCGAGCTGCTGCAAACCCGCTGTAGCGGCGTTAGATGCATCGGCGTGCTGCTTCTCTTGTCCGATGTCTGCTGCTGTCAAAGTTGCTGCCCTCCCCCCGTCCCCCCGACGCTGACCTTCCGCATGCATAGCTGCAGCAGCGGCCACGGCGGTAGGGGGCTGAAGTTTTGCCACAAGGGCGTCTCTCACAAGGCGCAAAACGTCCTCCAAGAGGCGCCTCTCCGTTAGCAAATGCCGCACATCTGCTATGTCGGCTTCCCGCACCTGAATTCCCAGAAACAGACAAACAGAGACTTGCAGAGGCGAGGCTGGCGAAAGCGCATGCATGCTCAAGAAACTGGCTGCGCCGTCGTATGCGCCTCAAGGTACTGTACATCATGGCCTTCCCCCAAACGTGCGGCTCCTCAGAGGTCTTCTATACACCCACAAAGGACGGTCGCCGTGGTGCAACATGGGCAACAGCAACACAAAGGACAGCAGGAACTACAGCAAAGTACAGCAGCAGCAATATATAAATTCCAGCAGGAGGTACAGCAGGAGCACCATCACCATCAGCAACATAATGTATACAACATCAGCAACATATAAAGTTCAGCAGGAGGTACAGCAGGAGCACCACCACCATCAGCAACATAATGTATACAGCATCAGCAATATATAAATTCCAGCAGGAGGTACAGCAGGAGCACCATCACCATCAGCAACATAATGTATACAGCATCAGCAACATATAAAGTTCAGCAGGAAGTACAGCAGGAGCACCACCACCATCAGCAACACAATGTATACAGCATCAGCAGCACAACCACTGGCAACACCATAAACCACCAATGGGCAGCCCCAGCAACAGTTTCAGCAGCATCTTTTTACCGTCTGGACACCTGCAACTTGCAGCTCATGAATTTTCTCTCGAAGGACCTGCATGCGTTTAAACGTCTCCGCATCAAACAAGAGATGATCGCTGTTACCTCCTGATGCTTTTGCTGCTTCTTTTGCGGCATCCAAGGCTGCCGCTGCTGCTGACGCCTCCGCTGTGTCTTCCGCCTTAAAGCGGTCCGCAGCAGCAGCGCTTGCTGCTGCACCTTCTGCTTCTGCAGCGTCGCTGGGTGGCAATCTTGAGCCTCCTGCGGTTGCAGCATTTGCCTTTGTGCTGTCTGAACCTGCAGTAGGCGTACAGACGTCTGCAGTTGGGGCCACTTCCGTTGACGCCGCCTCCGCTGCTGCAAGGCCTTCCTGAAGTCTTGTGTGTGCAGCTGCAGCAGGCCCTATAAAGTCAAGGGAAGCTTTTAGAGACGATGCACAGCCTCGCAGAAGCAGCATCCGTGAGTGCTGAGCGTACAGGTGTTGGCCGTGCTGCGGGTGCAGCTGCCCTCCACGCTGCTGGGGGAAAATGAAACCGTAGCGCATGCGTCGCGTGCAAACCCCGCATAAGGGCTGCAAGGCGCATAGGAGCAGCAGCAGTAGCAGTGCGAGCAGCTGGTGCTGTAGCTGTTTTGCATCCATGGCCGGCAGGGCCCCGAGGCGGGGGTAGAGCTTGAAAACATGAACGATTCCTCTTGAAACCTCGGAAACGATATCCAGATGCAGCCGAAAGGCTACCTTGGATGGAACCTTTAAAGATGAGTTGGAGACATGCTGTGCATTTGTGTGTGCGAGGCGCACAGGATTCTGCATGACCAGGGTAGAGAAGGACGACCCTCCTCCAACCGGGAGGGAGGCGTGAAAATTCCTCGGTACACTGCGTTTACCTTGAAACCTAAGCCATCTAGATCTTTTTTTAAAGATTATAATTCAATTCGTATTTCTGCTAAGCTGCGAGCACACATTTCCCTGGCGGGCGTGCATGTGCTGGGGGGGGGACTGCGATCATCAGCAGCGCCTTCCAAGAGGAAAAGGATAATTAATCCTCTTCTCCCGAGCCCCTCAGTGCTTTTGACAGCCTGAAATTGACTAATAGAACTCAGAAGCTTCTAAGAGTACAAATACAAAACCCGAGAAATCCCCTCGGTTCAGAGACACGCGGTGGTCAAGGGTGCTAGCAAAATGCACACAGCACAAATCATTGCTGTGAAAGAAGGTCAAATAACAGCACATAATATGCCGATGTGCCAAATTCAACAGCATATAAAACGCCAATGTCTTGAACAGCAGCCTACAAAACGCCAGTGTCCCGAATAACCGCCTGTGGTATGCCAATACCTTGACTAACAGCATGAAACCAGTACGTCGTAACAGCCTAGCACTTGAGAACTTCGTTGTAAGTATTAAATTAGGGTGTACTGCATGCTAAAAGCCTTCACGAAGAGCATCGGCTGTTCGTTGTACAAACCCGTGGGACCTGTCTGAACTCAAAAGAAGATGTAGTTAAGTAGATTTAAGGGTTTGCCTGTAAGAAGCGCCTGCGAATGCTGCCCCATTTAACTAATTCCCCCACTTTCCCCGTTCCCCCAACCTCAACCTCAACCTCAACCCAGGACTGCATCCTTCAGGCCTCAATAGCTAGAAGGGCGTCCACGAGGGCCTCGACTCTCGCGAAGCGTCGAATTTGTTCCAGCTCAAAGGCCACACGCTGCGAACACACACAAATCCCAGAAGTAAACTTTCATATGCCAAGCGCGCGCTTCCTCCTCGCCATGCACACCGGATTTCGTGCGCGTGTTGTGCTGCATCGCCTGCATGCCAAGCTCTTCTCAATACCGCGTACATATACATGCATATATATGTATATATATGTACATATACATATAATGAGCCCCAGCATGCCAAACCGCAGCTACGCCCATTTCCTACGGAACCCTTGACCCATACATAGACGCATAAATAGGTAGACCGATGCACCTGGCAAATCTTTGCGAGGAGGGTCTTAAGCTCGGGGGCGGCCTGCGGCTCTTCAACAAGCCAGCCTTCGTTCTCGTCGAGCAGGGAATGCAGCAGCTGCAAGGAGATGGCAGTCTGAGCCGCCCCTTTAAGACCAATGTGCTTTGAAATGAACCTCAGGAGGGGCAACAAGGAAGACATGTCACGCCCCCGAACAGAGCTGCGAAGGCCTCCGCGCTGCAGCAGCTCAGCTGACAGTGCCAAAACGTGCTGAGGCCTGAAGCACATAAAGATGCACAACGCCATTCAACAACAAATCTTGCCAGGTCAACAAAAAACAACCTCTTCGAGAAATAACTCCTACACAAAACCTCCCCCATGGAAAAACACCCCTTATGGAAAATAGCCCCGACAGAAAACAACCCTACAGAAAAGGCACCTTCCCCCAAAAGCACCCCGTACACCCACAAGCCAAGCCCTATACGAATGACACAAAACAGCCCCTACAACACCAACAGGCCCTCCACCACCAGACACGCCAAAAGCAAGCAGCCCCCCCTCGCAGTCTACACAGGGGCCGTAAAGGGAAACAGGTGTACGTTGTAGTAAGCGCCACATCCATCGCCGCTTGATACTGAAAAGTCTTGACCAACTGATCCAATCGCGAGAGCCGACGGCTCTGCAAACTGTCAACCTGGGGCAGCAACAGCAACAGCAACAGCAGCAGCGTTCCCAGTCTCTTCAACCAGAGAGCCCACAGCAACAAAGTCTGAAAAAAAGCTAATGCCCACTCCGTCGTCAAAGCATCACTCAGGGTCACTCCAGCCCATGCGCGGCACACATACGATGCAGGAACGTCCCTAAACACGCGTACCACCATGTCTCCCGCATTTGCCGGTGCGGAGCGTCCTCTTTTGAAATACCCTGCATCCGATGGCTTAAGCTGCAGCAGGCGTTTGCGCTGCTGCTGCTGCTGCTGCTGCTGCTGCTGCTGCTGCACGAGCAGCAGCTCCTCACTAAGTGCGCGTGTGGCACCCGCTGTTTGTTGTCGTACCATCCATCCTCCGTCTGCCAAGCCCACCAGGAGGCGGCAGCTGCTGCTGTTGATGCTTCTCGCTCCGCCTCCCCTGCTGCTGCTGCGTTTGCTGCCAAGGCTGACGTCGCCAGCAACCGCATCCATGCACAGCACGTCGCTCCGCAAGCCGAAGCACTGCTGCAACTGTAGGGTCTGCACAGAAAAAGACAGCACCCGAAAGAAAAGTCTGCACTGCTGAGCGGACGCCGCCGCAGGCATCACGCGACTCTTCCCAGTTGCTGCCCGACGGTGTCACGCTGCAGAAGACAGGGATTCGCTCGCTCGGCACTTGGACGAGGAAGGCAGGGGGAGAGAGGAGAAATACAAGAAAGGGGGAAGGGTAAGGGAAGCGCTCTCTCTGCGTGCGAGGACATCAGGCGTTACATCGAGAGAAAATATGCGAACAACGTTGTCGAGGGAGGCAGTCGCGAGCAACAAGGAAGAGCTGCCATCCCGTGCTGCTCCAGCATTAGAGGCCCCAGTGCCAACCGGTATCTCCTTAAGAGCGATGACAGTCTTGGCAAAGCTGCTCAGCTCCCACAATGGCGTCTCCGCTTGCCGCACATCCCAAAGTCGCACCTCCGCCACACATACATGTACACACACACATATATATATATATATATACATGCATACACATACATGTACACATACATAGACACATACACATAATTGCACATATATGTATATGTACATATATACACATGCGCATAGAACTATACACACATATACACACATACACATTGATATGCATATATATACATGCATAGAGCTACACACACATATACATGCACATACATATACACATACACTAATACACACCCACATTCACATATAAACATACACATACATGTACACTAATACACACACATACACCAGTACAAATCTCTACACATACATGCACATACATATAAATACACATACAAATACACATAAGCATACATATACAGACATGTACATTAATGCACACACACACACACATACATACACACATGCACACACATACACACATACACACATACACGCACACATACACACACGTATACCGTGCACCGCAGAGCTCGAACGCTCACGACGGCAGCTGCACGAAGCCAAGGGAACGGGTTGAATTTTATGTTAGTGCCGTGCAAAAAGAATACACCCTCTGCGGAAGTGCCCGCCGCCGGCCTTTGCAAATGAGGCGAAGGGCTGTCGCAGATTCAAGAAAACTTCATACCTGCGTTCCCGCAGCAGTGAGGATTTGCAGCGTGGAAGAAACATCCAGCAAACGAGCGGCTTCCGTCGGACTTCCTTGGGTAATCGTGAGACAGGCGTTCTGAGAAGTGCATAAGCCATCACGCAGGAAATGAAATAGCGCTGGCCTTAAGAAAACTCCCCCCTACCTCCACTGCCCACCACCATGCCTCCTGCACCGGCATGTGACCCCCAACGCGTGGAGTTTTTTTCAAAAATTGCGTAGAGTCGCGTTGAGTGCCCTTCTCCAGGACGCTCAACGAGGCTCAACACGGCTTACACGCGTGCGAACGTCCCACAGCTTGGCAGTTGCATCGTATGCAGCCGAGAGAAGTACACCTCCAAATCCACAGGAGCTGCTGATACACCGCACCGAGTCTGTGTGCCCCTTCAAGTCGACGGCCAAGGCCCCTGTCTCGAGATTCCACTGGCGTACGACCTGCATCCATGCGCAGCCGCTGCAAACTGCCATATCACCAATGCATGTCGGCTAATGCAGCTAAGAAAGCAGGCAGAATACGCACTGGAATGGCTCTGCGTAAAGGCCTACATGCCTGCATGCAGACCAGGGGCACGGGATATATGCATGCATTCAAGCGGCGATTCGGCAGAAGATTGGCAGCCTATGAGATTTACGCAGTCATCTCCGCCCGTGACAAGATGATTTCTGTCCTCTTCGAAGCAACAACAGCGGAGCGGTGGTGCCTTGGAGGAAGGCTGGCCTTGAAAGCGTCTCAACGTATCGCGCGATTGCACGGCAACAACGGACGCCGTTCCAGACTCCTCCGTCACACTGCAGAGCATCCCATCTGCACCCCCGCCGCAGACACACAGCCTCCCCCGCAGCAAGCCATGAAAGCCCTTACAACCTTCGAGCTAGCCACGAAACATGAAGGCTGCCATGATGAATTTGCACAACTGGGGGAAGGGGGGAAAATGCCTGGCGGAAGTGCCTAGCAAATTGCCTAGCGGAAATTTCCTGGTCGCCTCTACGAGCAACACCGGAGCCCCTTATGAAAAGCAGTTTGATGTGTTTCAGATTTTGAAACGCACTCGATTTAACGGCGAGCGCCGTAACAGGAGATTTTGCAGAAAAGAATTTTTGCGCTTCCGGAGTCTCTGAGCAGGTGCCCATGAAGACCCTTGTTCCTTCCGCCAACAGGCAGGTGTTGCTCAGCAACTGCTGCTGCTGGTGCTGCCGCCTGCTGCTTCTGCGCTGCAGGACTGCTTCGACATCGGCTTCCCTCTTAGATTCCTCTGCATCCGAATGTTCTGACGCTGACGCCTCCGCACCTCCCTCTTCTGCGGCTCTCCTGCCTGCGGCAGCACTCCTGTTGTGCTGCAGCTTCGGCAGGAAGCAGCAGTTCGTTACGGCTCGTGCCAGTGTTCCCACGCCCTCCAACCTGAACGTCTGCTGCAGACGCTTAGACCGAGCAAGGGGGCCTCCGAAACTCAAGGGGTCTCCTGCTGGCTCCCCTGCCGTCTCAACTGCCAGCGGCAGATAGCGACCGCATGCAGAGCGCGGCATCTTCCGCCGCAACAGCTGTGGCCGCCTGCTCGAGAGGCTGCTGCGCGTTTCTCCCGGCTTGGTAGCTGCTTATTGCGGGAATGCGCCGTAAGCTCACAGTTCCCTGCCCCCTATATCCCAAACTTCAAGCCCTTCACTTCAAAAAGCGACAAATTGTTGCACTTTTGAAGGCCAAATACGATTACTCTCCAATGAAGAAGGCTGTGGGGCAGCTGAGGCCGCATGCAGCAGCCGCAGCAGGGGGCATCGATGCTCCTCCCGATTCTTCTACGTGCCTTCTTTGCTTTTTTAGAACCAGAATACCGTGCGCCTTGTGCTTCGCTGCCCAAGCCACATCGAACCAGCAGTAGCTGGTGCTGCTGCTGTCGCGGTTGCTGCAGGGGCCCCAGCTGGACTCTTGAGAGAGGCCCCCCTTCCTCCTCCGCAGCCGCAACCAGCGAGCAGACAATGAAGAGTGGATTCTTTGCCTCGCCTCTACTGTCTGCAGTTGCTGCTGCCTGCGGTTGCTGCTGCTTCTCCCACGGCATCCAGCAGCGAAGGGAGTCGGCACGACAGCAGCGGCGCGTCGTAGCAGCAGCAGCAGCAGCAACGACAACCAGCATTGCCGCTGAGGGGACTGCCCCCTCCTCCTCTGAGGAGGGATACATCAGCCGTGCACAATGGCAGGCGCTGCAGCAGCAGTGTCATGCAGCAACCAGCGCCGACAGCGGCCTCTGCGGTGACCTCCTTCGCGCAGCGGCAGCTGCCGCAGCAGCAGCCGCTGGATGCACCACAAGTAGCAGCAGCAGCAACTTCGACTACTGCGTTGCTGTTGTAGACGGGGCATCTATTGTGAAGGAACCCCTTGCCTTCGACTGGCGCCACGTGCGGCTAAGGGGGGGCCGTCCGAGCTTGCTCCTAACGTACAGCTACACATACAGCCCGCAGCTGGAGCAGGAGCAGCAGGAAGGCGACGGGGAGAAAGATGCGCGCCAACAACGGCACTTCTCGGGTGCTGCCAGCTTTACACTCCCCCCCCCAAAAGAGATGCAGCAACCGCCGGCAAGCGCAGCTGCCACTACAGCACCAGTGTCTGATCCTTCTCCCGCTGCAGACATCTCCTCTGCAGCCATCTCTTCGGCAGCACATCCTGCAGTGGAGGGGGTGCGCGTTCTGTCGCTGGATGAAGTGGCACAGAGTATACGGCGAGATGATGTGCTGGTGCTGCAGCTAGATAAGAAAAACCCTGAGGTGCAGAGTCCACTTGTTGCCATCGTATCTTCCCATGGGGGGGAACTTTCTGAGGGGATGAATTCCAAGCCTTTTTCTTCTGAACTCGTAGGGGTACTGGGGGACTGTGGGGGAGGCACGGGGGCCCCTGCCCTTGGCCTGGGTAGCGCCCTCTGCCTGCTGGGAGGTCTTAAGGCCCTGCTGTACGGCGCCATCAAGCGGCGATTTAGGGTTTAGTGGGGGGTGGGGAGGTTGTGTTATGTTTTGTGGGTTGTGGGCACACAGCAAGACCAACTACCCCCTGTGTTGCAAAAGCTGGCACGCTGCACCACCGCAGTTCGTAAACTCTCTTTGAGCCCTTATCGAAGCCTTAGAACTAGAAGAGGAGGGGGCAGAAGAGGAGAGGTGGCGGCTTGTGAGCTCGCCAATTGCGAAGCCAGGAACCTTTTAGGGCCCTGTAGGTAGCGACCAAAAGCACGGTAGATGCGTTGCGATGCGATGTGGTGCAAGGCGCTCAACATTAGGGCCTAAAGATGCCCTAGATAGGGTGAACGGTTCGTGATGCAGACTACATTATCGTGCAACGGTCTTCATCGCTTTCTTCAGAAGCGCTCTCCTGCACGCGGAAACGCAACCCTTGACCCTAAAACCCTGAATCCCTCCTTCCCTACCCGCATGCCCACCCCCCGGCGGGTGCGGCACTGATTCTGGAGTGCTGGGTAGATCCGCTTTTAAATGCAGCACGCCAGAGCCTTGCACCTGGGATACTGTTGACACGTCAGACATGCAAGCACGGGTTCCACAGTTGGCAGGAGGGCATAGCCAGGGTTCGCACCTCTTGATAGTCGAGTTCCCACAGCATCCCGTTAGCGTATATCAGTTGGATCATATCCACAAACATCTGCAACGCACAAAAACAACCGCCAAAACATGGAGCCTGACGCCCCTATAAAGCCAAGCTTCAGATCTCGGGTAGATGCTTGCGTCGCGTGCGTTTGAGACTCTCGAGATTATGAGCGCTTTCTGGGTTTCTGAAAGGGGAGCTGGGCAGTTTGCCTTTTTGATATTCTTTCCAGTATGTGCAGAGACCTGCCACAACCGGCAGAAAACTTGCTGCCTGCAGCGAGCAGCACAGCAATAGGAAGGCGCTGGCCCCTAAAACTCCCCGACTCCCTTCGTTCGGCTGCAAACAGCTTTGTTGCTCCGTATGTCACCTCTGCTGCCTAAGAAAGCCGCTAGATTTTTGACTGGCGAGGGTGTAGCTTGCTTGGGGTTCGGACGCACGCGTATAGTTCAGCCCTCCCCAAAAGCCGGGTAGGCACGTCTCCTTGGGGGTCCACGTCTGCGTGCGATGCAGCGAAAGCAGCAGACGTACAACCAGATAAACTTAGATTCCCTGGCAACCGCGAAGCCACATTAGCGCGGCACGCACCACGCGAATATGCGGCCTCCCCCCTGCAAATACCTTCAGGACGACCCTTGAGCGCTTCTTCCTTCACCACTGGAGCTTACCCGTTTTGTTAGCGACAAGGAAAATCACCGGAGATATCATCGACTGCAGAGAAAAGCACCCACAAACAGCCCGCGGCCCTCCTCTCCTTCTTCTGCAGAAGCTTTGGAGGATGCCGTGAATCCTACAAGACCCTCACATTTCTGTATTCTGCAAAGTCCTTGACGAGGTCGTAGAGCTCAGTTGCTTTACTGAAACTCTCGGGAGAATTCACGTCAAAGACTATCAGAAACCCCATGCGGCCTGAAACACAAGGCACGAGTCCTCATGAGTACATCAGCACAACGGAAATGAGGAGAAAACAGCCTCACCAGCACCGCGGAGCCCAACGACAGCGCCAGCAGAATCTTACCATGAGCAATTGATTGAAACTTCTCGCGTTCCGCGTGCGGCTGGATAGGCGGCTTCCAGATCGAAAAAGGCGTAAAGTCCTTTATCCCACGAGGGAGGGTTGCTGCGCACGCCACGCACAGAGAGGTCGCACGTTTCTACTCATCATGCGACTCAGAGTTCAAAACCCCGTAATCAGCCCGATGCGATTCCCGCCAAGCGCCTTATCGCCTTTAAAAGAAACCCCGAGTGCGCGACTCAGTTTCAGGTGCCTCGGTATTCCACACGCTGTATCATCCCCCCAACCCCCCTCTAGCCGCACTCATCCTTCTCTTCATATCTACAAGGGCTCTGACACTCCTGCCACCGTCCGTTCGATCTGCATCGAAAGTGTCTTCCACCTCGCAAATAAAGGAACGCGTGTCCGAGCTGCCCTCATCGGGAATGCGGACGACGCGATACATCAGCCTGAGCGTCGCACAGCCGCGCACTCCTTTCTTCACAGCGTACTGTGCCGCCGAGAAGCCCCAAACCCTGCCCTTTTTCTACCCCGCTTTTCAATGAGGAATCACACGCAGTTTTCACGCCTGAAGCGTGTGTCTAGAAACACTTGGGGCAAGACGGGATAACCGAAGCACCAGAATTTGAAAAACAAGCGTCCCAGGTCATGAGCAAGGATTTGAGACTTCGCGCTCACGAAGACTCCTGAGCATTCAGAGAGCGCGCTCTGAGTCAAAGAGGAGGGGGGAGGAAGGGAGGGAACTGCGTGGCGCCAAATACCGTGGGAAGTCTGTGGAAGGCGGAGGGTTTGACCTCTCGACAACATTGTTTACAAAGGCATCTGCGATGGAGGTTTTGCCGCATCCGCCAGATCCCAGAAGCGTGATTCGAAGTAACGGAAAGGCATTTGAATCCATGACCGTGGAGGTTCTTGCTGCCTCCGGCGAGGAGGACGCACCTCACGCTTCAGAAATGATACGGGGGGGTGAGGACTTGTGTGTAGGGCTCTTCGCGCTACCCATCCACACATGCATGTTGTTGACACGCCAGTAGTTCTGGGTTGCTACTGAACCACTGCTAGAGAGCTGCCAGGAAATGACCTTCCCAGAAGAGGGCATATATATATAGGGTAGGGCACCCCAGTTACTAGCGAGAACGAGGCTCCCCTCGGCAACATGACAGCAGCTGGACGACTGCGCTTCCCTTAAGACCCCTACTTTTACTGCGTCTGGGTGTGTTTCTCGAGGTCGCCTTGCTGGCGATGCTTGACAGACTGCCTCAGGGCGAGTCTCGGGGTGCCTCTCACCACAGGGCGCGTAGCAGTTCTGGAATGAATTTAGGGCTTTGAAATTTGCATTTGCGGCTAATAATGTAGCACTACCGACTTCGAAACATTTCAGTCATGAAATGTCTTGAGACTACGGTATCTTAGAGGCCATCGGGGCAGCCGCCACATCCAGCGCTGCAGCGGCAACGGCGGCGGCCGCTGCTGCTCCCTAGCGGTCGATGGAAAGACCCCCTTCACTGCACTGCGAGGCGTAGACAGCAACCGAATCCTTCTTACGCAAAGTCTGAACCTTCATTTGGATTAGGGAACCCGCGGAAGTTCGTAGAGCCGGCCGTGTGCACGCACGCTTTGGCCATCCGCGCTGCTGAGTTGCACGCGACAGTGCAACTGCAGCGCACTTGCTGCTCATGCTGCAGTCTTCAAGTCAATAGGCGGTCGCCAGTGCTCCTGCTTTCCTGTAACAGCAGTGTGCGTACAGCCAAAGCGAGAAGCCGCGTGTGCCACACGCAAAAGCAGCAGGCAGCAGCCCGAATGGCGGCAGTAGCTGCAAAGCCTACAAGAGAAGCAGAGGGTCACTGCCGCATGGGAGGTGGCACCAACAGCAGCAACGCCAGAAGGAGCCCCTGCTGCAGCGGAAGGACGCGTTGTGGGCAACATTAGCGGTCTTAGCAACAGAAGCTGACCCCGCAGCCATCTCTCCAGCAGCTGCTTCAAGAGCACTCAGAGCAACAGCTGCGGCCGCTGTAAACGGTGGCGTGCAGTTTTTGAACCACCTGTGCGCTTTGTCGCCGGGCACCCTGTTGCAGCACACGCAGCAACACTACGCAGGAGCTGAAATTGCAAGACACCAAGATGCTGGTGGAGCAGCAGCCCATTCTTCGCAGTGATCGAGATCTTTCCTTGAACGATGAGCAGAGGCAGGAGGCACAACAGCTTCTTCTCGAGCAGCAGCAGAAACAGCAACAACAGCAGCACGTGCAACGCGAGCAGCAGCAACAGCCCGTGGGCCAGGTGGAGGTAGAAGAGACTCTTACATGTCTGCATGAGTGCCACAGCTTTCGAAGTCGATGTAGCGGCGTAGCACTGTCGAGGGCGTCCAGCTTAGAGCTACGGGAAAAGGAAATAGGGGAATTAGAGAAACGGTATACAATGTCTACTTGCAGTTGCTGCTGTTTATTCGGGTGCTAAATTATCTGCGGGTGTGTTTCTGCTGCTTCTCTACTCGACGCGTGGCTGCACAGTTGCTGCTGTAGGTGCTGCTGGTCTTAGCTGCCGCCGCAGATGGACAAGCAGGAACTGTTGCTGGAGCTCTTGCTGTGTGGCGTAGCAGCAGTGAGAGGAGCAGCGTCTTTGCGGCAGCAAAAGCGGCGACGGTCTGCCTTCTGGGTGTCTTTTCTCAGAGGACCCCTCTATGCTGGTAGCGTCCGTGTTCCCTGCGAATCGCCTTCTCCGGGAGGCGCAGTGGAGGGCACGGCAGAATCACCCCACACGAAGCGGTGGAGAGAGCTGAGCCTGGCAGAAGTTCTTCAGAAGCTGTTGCAGCACTTGCCAAGAAGCAGGCCGCTCTTCAGCTTTGGAACGGAAAGCTTTAGTGGGACGTCAGCCACGGATGCCCTTAAAAGGGCGCTGAACGTAGACCAAGACACTGCAATCCTCGTATGCTTATTCTTAAAATCCTTACTCCGGAGAGCCGTATACGCGTTCTGTGAGAAAAGAGGGCGCTTGGCACAGAAAAAGAAAGGCCTCTGCTGCCCTGAAGGACTTCTTTTCAACGGCGCTATCTAATCGTTGCTCTCTGGATGCCTTTCTGATATGCCGATAAACTGCTTTTTACGAGGAATCGTTGACCTATACATACAGCACATCATACATACAACACATCATACATACAACACATCATACATATATATATATATATATATATATGTATGATCCTTGCGATATGTATATGCGAGACTTCCTTTCCTCAGTTTCCCTCCCCCTCCTGTCACTCTCATTCTTGCGCCTCATCTTTTTGGCAGCGGTATCGTTTTGGAGAAACTCTGGAGGGGGCACAGAGACCGCCTTTTTTTCAATCGGGTGCTGCGTGCGTGTGGTCCGCATGCGTTAGGTAGGCCAGCAACTCCTGGATTTAGATGTTTGGTGCGAAGTGCCGTACGGAAAGAACTACACGTTCGAGTGTACAGACAGTCGAGAGTATGCCCTGCAGTTACGCCTCTTGGGCAACGTGTTCAATTTCCTCTTTCGGTGGTGCAAACCGGCAGCCAGTCCGCTGCCGCTCCTCCAGCACCTTCTGAAGGGAACCCTTGACTTATTCGTGAGCCGACGCATGCTAATCAAGAGACCCCCTGACGCGAACCCACTCCTCGTTTGCCCCTCGTCTCCATGCACTGCCCCCAGCGATTGAAGAAAAAACAACCACCGCGCGATGCCAGGCGCGAAGTTCTTCCCGAAGCACGCACGTTGCGGGGCAAGATGCTTCTGCCTGGTGGCATGTTTGTGCAAGCGATATCCCACGACGTTTTCCATCCATCGCTTGCCTCCTTCTTGCTGTTTGACTGCATACCCTGCCGTCGTAGGGAGCTCATCTGTCCGCGGACCGCGTGGATCTTGCAGCTGTATGCGCAGACCAGCGCTCTTTAGATTTGTTCGTCAACTGCTGCGAGCTGCAGCAAGTAGATTTGCAGGCCCTTCAAACGCACAACCAACAGAAGGCCTTCTTTCTGAATTTGTATCACCTCACGCACAGGCTAGCGCTCCTCCAGGTCAGCCGAGAGGGAGCACTTGTCTTGCCTCCAGGACCGCGCAGCCAACGCCCTTTAAGAAATTGGCTCAAGAAGCTTGTCGCCCTCGCTTGTGCGCGCCTGTTGCAGCAGGCACGCTGCATGCCCGTAGCTGTGCGGGCTAAAGTCCGATGTTTCTCTGTGGAGGATGGGCAAGGAATTGATTGTGGACGTCTGTGTGTATGTGAGTGTGTGTATGTGAGTGTGTGTATGTGTGTGTTTGTGTGTGTTTGTATGTATGTGTATGTGCACGTATACATGTGTATGTATGTCTGTGTATGTATATGTACGTGTATGTGTATGTATATGTATGTGTATGTATATGTATGTGTATCTATGTGTGTCTTTCTCTGTTTGTATATCTGTCTGTGTAACTGTGTGTATATCTGTTTTTCTGTCTGTGTCTGGCGGCCTGCAGCTCGGTGTGCCCGAGGGCCTTTACCAGCGCCTCCGCCTACTCAATTGCGCGGGGGTGTGCGTAGGAGGATTTCGGTTGAACCTTTTAGAAATCTTCCACGGAGTTCTTCGTTGCAACAAGCGGCCCCCCCTTGGGCTCCACAAGCCTTTCCAGTTTCCCGATCAGCGCAGGGGCCTTGCCCTTAAAACAGTTCGTCAGTCAACGCTGCTGAACGGGATTAAGCCTGCAGCGGTGTAGGGGATTCGTTGCGGATTGAGCGTCTTTAGTTCTTTAGGGCATATAGGGCCAGCGTTTCACGTGTCGAATGATGGTGGAGGCATAGCGCTCGAGCATGACGCCGTATACGTTTCCGTCCAGGGAATATTGTGTGTCTTTTCTTTTCAGCTAGATCCACGGATTCACTTCGCTTTGAATTTCGGAACGCCAAGACCGCGACTGCGCATCTACCATCCCGAAATCTTGGATGTCTGTGGCTGCTTACGCTTCATGGCTGTTGGCATAGGGGGCTCTGCCTGCTCTCTGTGCTGCACTGCTGCCGACACGCGCTGCTGTCAGGGGGGCTTTTGTCGGCTGCTGCTCGGCGTGAGTCTACGGACAAAGCGCAGGGATGTGCGTCTGTGTGCACTCGCTCAGGAAGAACTCACCCTGGCCGTCCGCGTCTTCCTCAGCGATCCGAAAAACTTCCAATTTGCTGATGGCGGCCGCTCATTGCGGCTCTCGCAGCTTCTCGAAACGTTTCAGGGGGATTTCGGTTCGACACAGAGAGAGGTTCGCGAGTAGTGCGTTGCGTGCCGCTAAGCCATGCGGGAGCATCAAATGCTGCTTCTTCCTGCTGCCTTGCATGGTTCCCCTTCTGGCGGAAAGCTTCTTTCTGAAGCTTCTCCCTGCCGCAGATGCCCTGCCGCTGCTTTGGCCAATATGCTCTGGGCTGCGTTGCAGGCGATTGCGTATCTTTTACCGTTTTTGAATGGTTCGGAATCTGAAATGCTGCGGCAGCTGCTGCAAATGGAAGGCCCCCGCAGCAGCAGGGGGAGCAGCGGCGGCATAGCGGAGGCGGTGGTTGGAGGGTTCTTGAGACTTTTCGGCGGATTGAAAGTCTCGTATTCGCCAGTAGATTGGCAGTCTCCCTTTCTCCCGCACAAGCCTTTCGACTCACGGGGGCACATCCTCTAACTCGGTGATTCGGTTTTGGCAGGTCCTAAAGCGAGGAGGTGCTGCTAGACTCAGCTTGTATCTGTACTTCTATATGCTCCTTTGCTGCCACGGCAGCAGTTCGCTGCCGTAGAAGTTTTCTTGCTGCTGCTCGCACTGTAGTGGGTAAGACCGCCTTGTAGATGGTGGAGCAGAGACACCCCCACGCGCCTCCAGAAAAAATTCTACAGGCGTTCGACGCTGTGTGTCAGGCTGCACGCCGTCTCGGGATGTAGCCCACACCAGTCCCTCAAATCCTAGGGTTTAGCGGGCGAGATTGGACATACCTCCGCAAAAAGTCAGGCCTTGTTGGAACGGATTTAGGGCGCCCGCTGCCTTCGACAAGGGCAGATGCGGGATCTGTCCTTTTGCTCTTTTCTATGCACCACCCGAGCCTCCCTGTTCTAGCTCTATCACTGGTGACTTGGGGTACGCTGGATGTGTAGCTGCCTCTAAGGTCTCCCCATGGGCAAAAGCTCTAAAAGACCAGTGAGAGGGGAGACTTCGGGAAGAGCTTTTCTTACGTCTTCCCCGAAAGACGTCTCTCCTTCCCCTGCCCGCACCCTCCAGAGCTCCCAACATGAGGGGAGAGCGAAATAGGGAGCGCCTAGCTGCACTTTCTTAGCACTTCTATCGAGTCTAGCGAGTTGCACATAGAAAACAAACCATATTCTCCGCGAAAATACACACATACAACCTTGCACTTTCTCAAAGTGAGCTAATAGTTTCTGCACAAACTAGATATATGCAGACCAACCAGTCGGTAAAGTCTATAAATACTACTTCCTAGTGAAACAGTGTTACAGAAGGCTCGACCTGCCCTTCCCCAGCTTCCGCCCTCCTGTCTCTTGATGCTGTGGCAAAGGCACAATGGGCCTCTCACCCAGAGGCCGGAGAGCCACCGCCCTTTATAAAAGAGCACACATTGCCTATGGCTTGTCGGGAGGTAGCTGGCAGCTTGACAGCGGTCAAGTGCTTTATAAAAGTCCTACAGGGCTCAGAGTATCCGCTAGAATGACTGAGCAGCAAGCTCCCTACTTTTCCTTTCGGCGTAAACTATAGCCCGCGACTCTGCACGGCGGAATTCCACGCTGACGCCGTTTTAATGGCTGCTTTCACCCGTATTTAGCGCTGCCTACAGGGTGCTGCACACAAAAACGCATCCACATCATGCTCTGCTCCGTAGAGGAGGACGCTTTCCAGGGCTGAGCGCTAATATCCTTGAGCTGTCGTGCTCTAAGACCACAAGGAGAGCACCTCTACAGCGCCTGCGATCCACCAGAAAACCAATAAGAGGGCAGCCGATACACGGAATTTGACTGTCTGGCGTATTTGGTGGGCAGTAACGAAGGCATAGCCCCCGCATTCGCGAGGATGACCGGCGGACCCTACCAGTGCGAAGCGGGTAAGAGCTCCCCAAGCCTCCTGAAAGACGGCAGATTACTATTTGGGCATTGTGGCTTTCAGTGTAAACGCCCTCAAAATACTTGTACGCAATTTGCTCAGCATTCGACGGTCTAGAGAGAGGCCCCTCTTCAAGAAGAGGGGCCTCTCTCTAGACCGAAGGGAGGGAAGGGAGGAGGCCCCCCCTTACGTGAGGTGTCTCGAGTCTGTGGGGTTTTCCGCATACGCGGCTGCGGACCGTATCCCTTCTGTTGCCGAGCATCGAATAATTAAATTCATGCGTATATTGTCGTGGCTGAACTCGCGCTGTGTCGTCTGGACGTCCTGGATCAAGAGGCTTCGAGCCATCCTTTTTTCCCAAGACTCGATACTGCAGAACCGCAGAGCCGTATGTACGGGGGGGCCCTGCCGCCGGTCCTGCAGGCTGCGTGTTAGATTCGCGACTCTGCTGCTTCTAGGGTCTATTGCATTGCCGATTTAGAGGCCTTTCGCTCTGCTCCACGCCGCTTGCCTCGCACCCTTTAGGCAGCGCGTGCACGGCGCGAGGATTTCACGGAGGCTTTGCAGTAATTGCTTCAAGGTTTCCAAGAAGGTGCTCTGGCGGCAGCCTCATGTCTAAGAGGGCTGTGAGGACTCCAAGATGAAGGGAACCCTGGGAAAGGCGTTGTGGCGCCTGGAAGCAGAGCTTCTAGCGCCTTCCCGAGGGTTGAAAGGCCTCAGGGGGGTCCTGCACGCCGTGGCGGATGCTGTGGAAGAGTCTTTGGCCAGAGACTTTCCTGCGGATTCTGAGGAAGAAGCTGTGGCAGTACGGAAAGGTGTGGCTTTTTTCCAGACTCTCTACGGCCAGGCCTGCTAGCTGCTGCCTGTGAGCCCCCTAACCCATTTCTCCCCGACGAAGGCCTCCCTCTCGGCAGCCATGCGCGTCGCTGCACCCTTCGTGTGGGTTTCGCTTGACGGCTGCGATGTGCGTTCAGAGTTGGCGTATTTGTGCGACTTGTGCATATGGCTGCGCCGCTGCCAGTGGCGCTCAGTCTTCACTCGCGGCTGGTCTCTTCATCACCTCCCGCAGCTCGTGAGGCGCAGGCCTCACTCCGCCTGCAATAGTGTCGCGGCAGCCGTCGAAGGTAGAGACTCCACAGATGGCGCCAACTTCGCAGACAGCGCAGACAGCTCAATGCAGGATGCAGCCACGGCATATCCGGGCAAGCACGAAGGAGAAAAGCCTCCTGGGCTTGCAGCTTCCTCCGAAGGTTCTTTTGCAAACGTGGAAGGCGATCTGGCGGAAGTATTGAAGGCACAAGCGGCACAGTGCTGCTCTCAGGGCTCCTCTTTGCTGCTGGCTTTGCGCAGTCGCTGTGCCCTTGTGGTGGCGATTGCCGGAGTTTTCGTCTTTGCTCAGGTGGGCAACACACGCTGCGGCTGGAGGGAAGTCTCACTTTCTTCAGCCTTTTGCGGAGGCGACCAGGAGCCGATTTTGGAGTGGCGACTTTTGCGTATTCGTCGAAAGCGTTCAGCTCTTTATTTCTGAGTGTGTTTTTGCGCCTTGTGACGACAGGCAAACATCACTGGGCCCTCCTTCGGACGAGTGAGCGCTACCGAGCTGCTCGAGGTCAAGAGGACGGAGGAGGGACGCAAGCGGCATCCAGACCTCTACCCTTCCAAGCAGCTGCCCCCCGCAGCGGCGGCGCATGCAGCCTCTCGAAAGGGCTGCTGCTGCTGCTGCTTCTACTGCGGCATGTGCTCTCGGGAGGAGGCGCTGGCAGGAGTCGCTGCGGCTGCGGGGACCGCAACTGCAGCCTCCATGCAGCAGAAGCGCTGCTATTGCGAATTCGAACTTCGCGACGCGTGCGTCTTGGGGAGTCCTTCCGAGGCAGCAGCACAGGCGGCCTTGCATTTCCAACCGCTTCAGAGCATGCTCACGGTCGACGGAGAGGTAGGCTTCTTACAGGCTCTTCAAAGCCTCCACCTCAATCGCAGCTCCCCCTGTGTGAAAGTGCTTGGATGCGGGCCCTTACGAACGGAGGCAGCCAGGCAGGCAGCCAGGCAGTCCACTGCTCTGGCTAGGGGGCTTTTGCCGTGAGCGCATGCAGGCGGTCTACGAAGACGTTAGGGGCTTGAGCTACCTCTGGTTCTGCCGGCTTCTGCTAAAGCTCTTGGAGGCTCTGCAGCTTTCTGCAGCCCAGTCGGAGTTTCCTGCGGAGCCATGCGAGGGGTTGGCCGAAGCGGCTGGCCTCGCAGAGCTTCGGTTCGAGGGACCCTTGACACTCTTCGTGTGGACGGCTCGAGCGGATTTTCTGCTGCAGCGCACCTTGCGCAAAGGCGCAGGGGCCTCGGGGGCCCTCCGGGGGGCTGTCGCCCCTTCTCTGGTGTCGGCTCTGCTGTTCGACTTCGCAGCGGTGCTGCAGCAGCTCCAAGTACGCTTTAAAAAGCCCCAGATCTAAGTCTACACTCCCGCCCGTGTCTGCTTCTCCCCCTCAGCTTGCAATTTGTTTGTGCCTGTGAACGGCGCCGACGGGGTGCACGTGCGACACACCGGCCTAGCAGGAGCTTATTTTAGAGGGAGAAGGGCAGCTTGCTGTATGCGGTTTGCGGCTTTGCGGTGTAGTTGTTGCCTCCGGGCTTCAGCTGTACATCCAAGGAGGCGGTCGATCTGGATGGCTTGTTGCGGGCTGCTGACTTCGGCGCCTTTGATGCCAGGGAGCGACAGGAGGCCAAGCAACTCAAGGAAGACATCCTCAATATACTCCCCAACCAACAGGCTCGGTTCTGTCTCACGCCTCCTCTGCGAGATCCTGCTGCTAGTGTCCCAGCGGAGGAGCCCACAACGCACCTGCTGCTGCGGCAGTCAACCGAAGACCCCCGCTTGACTGGCCTCGCCGTCCTCCTGCCAGATCCTGCTTGGAGTAAGGGCTTGCTGCTTAGCGCTTAGAGAGGGCTACTACCAGTTCGACATACGGGCGGGCGTCTTGGCTTGCGAAATTGTCTTTACGGAGTGCCGTTACTTACGCGTGGATAGGGGCTTCCTGCATTGCCAGCGAAACCTTAGCGCTCAGGGTGTGTGGCTGAGGCTTTCTGTTGCAGTGACACCCCGAGACAGGACCTTGCTACTCCTGGAGCTGGCCCTGCGCCTCGCGGTCTTTGGGCGCGTCGAGATCTTTGATTCTGTGAACAGTGAGTTCCTTCCCTCCGTAGCCTCTAGGCTCCTGCTGCAGCTGCACACTTCTGGTGCTTTTCTGTCTGTTGGTGTGTGTGTCTGTGTATCTGTGTGTGTATCTATGTGTGTATCTGTATCTGTGTGTGTGTAAGTGTGCGTTTGTGGAGCTTTTTCTTTCGCGGCCTTCCGCTGCTGGCACTCTTCCTGAGTGTGGGGTCTTGGCAAAGAAAGCTTCGAGGTTGGTTCTGAGGGCTCCAAAGGGCATGGAATGTGTGTTACTGTGCCCTGCATGATACAGCCATGGCATGTGAGGCTTTTGGCGTCGAATTCGTCATAACGGGGGCTCCTGGCATTCGCAGAAAGTATCAGCAAGTTGAACTCCCGCAGTTGGTAGTTGGCGCAACCCGGAAGAGCAGATCTTCTGATCCCGAGGAGTGCAAGGGGGGCGCTCACCCACGGCCTAGGGGCCCACTCCCAACTATGGAGCCGACTTATACGGGTCACTGCCCGACCAGCAGCAGTAGTGGGGGCAGCAGCAGCAATAGTCAGAACAGCAGCAGCACAAGCGGGAGCAGCAGCAGTCGCGGCCAGTGCGAGGGCAACGGCAGTGAGACCGCTCACGCAAATGGCAGCAGCAACAGGAGCGAGGGGCGTCTTCTTCCCGAGGGCGAGGAAACCCCCTCAGAGCTATCTGAAGGAACGGAGGAGCAGCGCCGGCGTCTGTGGCATCTCGAGGATGTTCGCGAGGACACGGATATATTGGAAAAGCCCAAATTTTCGAAAGGGTGGGTTCTCTCTTGGGGAATTTACAGGCCTCCACTGCGGGGGGGCGTACGAGCAGTTTTCTGTTCTCTTTGTTTTGAATGGGTGCGGATTTACAAGGGCATGCTCAGCCACATTTTCAAGAGGCTAGTAGTCCTGTGGCGGGCGCGGTTAGCAGGAAATGGTGCTGTGCAGGCTGAAGGGAGCGCTCTTGTGGACAAACTTTCGGTTTGGCACTTCGCCTATGCGTGCAGAGCTGACTGGGAGTCGTTCGAGCGACCCCTTGGAGTGGTTGAGCAGGCCCTTCTTCTGTCAAAATCACGGTCACTAATCGAAGGCAACCCCTGTACGGAGAGTGGCTCTGGGCTGGGCTTGGGGGTGTGCGGCTATGACTTTACCGCGGTGGAGGATGACGCTTCTGGGGTCTAGAGTGGAGGGATGTGCGTACTCTCTGCGCTCAGGCAACGATCCTCTGGCGTTGGAGGAAGTCGGCGCAGTGGTCTCGCGCGCGTTGGTATTACCTCCCTCTGGCAGTGACAGCCGCATCAGCACCAGCACCAAGGAATACTATCGTGCACGTTTGCATGCCCTGGAGCAGCAACCCCCCGACGAGTTTCTTCCTGAACCCAATTGCCAGCTGCTGTCGCCCGATTGGGTGGTCTTTTCTGGAGGCCTTTGGCTGCGCTGCCGCACAGAGTTTCATCGGACAAAGACAGTGGAACGCGCGTGCCTGCAGCTGCATGCTCTCTGCGAACAGCTTTACGGTAAACTCTAAACCCTGGGCAGCATGCACGGCGCACATTAGGCCTTTGCTGTGGAGAGAAGAACCCCTGGGCGCTTGCAGCGCTGAACGCATCAGACCCGAGTTCCAAGGCATCGACTTTGCAGCACTGCATGCATCGTGGCAGCGGGCAAGTTTGCTGCCTGCGTCGCCAGCTGCCTCTTTACAAGGAGGCTCTACGACCTGCCTAGAGCGTGCGGTGCAGACGCGGACCCCCCCGGCTGTTACCGCCTCTTTGGATTGCTCTTCCATGCGGATTTGCTGAGCTGGTGGGAGCTGCAGCGCGAAGTGGGTAAGTAGGCTTTAAAAGAACATGTGTGGCTCAAGATGCGGCGATATTGTGGGAACCTTAAGTGGCGCTGAGCCTAGCGGAACTTAATTGCTCGAGCGTTTTGAGTTTGGGCTATGGGTTTATTGGTGAAGTGCGTGCTTTGCTTTAGGCGTAAGGATGATGCGGATCGGAGCTACCCTTACGGTAAGAATTCGAGGCATTTATGCTCGTGGACATTTGAATCGCTTCTTTTCCTCGCCTTTAGGTAGTGGGCTTTGATCTCTGCGGGGGCGTATTCTAGTGCCTCGGGTATTCTGCTGCCGAGTAGATAAGCGGCAGTAATGGCTTCCAGGATTAGACTTTGTGTGAGTTACATCAGGCCGCAGAGAAGTTCACTGAGCTGAAGATGTGGGAGGAAGCTGCCGATTGCCTCGTTGCTGCAGACCGCCGCGCGGATGCGCGAAGCCTGGTATGGTGTAGCCCCTCAGCCGGGCCCTAGGGGGTCAATTGTTCAGAAGCCGTTGCCTACGATGTACTCCCTAGTATACGGGCACTACCTAAACCCCCATTCATGGCGGGAGCAGCCTCTTTATAAAGCCCGCCTGCCTTTCTGGAGGCGTTCAAGCACACATGCTTAAGGTCCTAGGAATACAGAGTTGCACGTGGGTGATGTTCTGGCCAGCTCGAGAAACAAATCGCCGCGCACCCAACGCCGCACCTGCTCTGCACCCTTGCAGATTTGGAGAAGCAGCAGAACACTCAAAGGGCAGAGGATTTATATACTCAGGCCTGGTACGGAATATATTTGCGTGTAAAATCAGGAGTGTACATAATTGTGATGCCGAGGGAGAGTCCCAGGTGACTTTTCGAGGCGTCCGTTTTAGCGTAGAGTGGGAAAGACTCACAGCCTGTGATTGTGCCAAGGCTCTAGGGATTCCCCTCATTGTTCACTGTATGCGGTTCGTAATGGGCATGCTCCCAGGACGCTTTCCGGTGGTCGCTACGCACGTGCTCAGCGCGGTCTAGCCAGCCTTCACCTGCAGGCAGGGCGGTTGCCTGCCGCAGCTGCTGCTCTCCGTCTGGCAACCGCAGCCAGCAGTTTGCATGCTCCCAGCTGGTTTGCTCTGGGCTGTTGTGCAATGAAACTAGATTTGCTGCTGGAGGCCCGCGCCGCATTCGCACGTGTTGTTGCCATTGATCCTGAAGAGGGAGATGCGTGGGCAAACCTTGCCGCTGTGCACTGCAAGGTGTGCAACTCCGAGTAGCTCGCATAGGCGTGCTAGACGTCAGCGTCTTCGACGGCTGCATGTGAAGTCCCTCTTCGGCCAAGCAACCGGGAAGGAAGAAGCGGGCAAGCAGCCAGCCAGCCAACCGACCTGGCTGCCAGTTCAGCTGCATAACCTTTCATGCGTGTGGTTTGCGGTGTGGTGTAGCGGGAAGCCTGGGCGGCAGCGTTCCAGTGTATCAACGAGGCGGCGAAGCACAAAAGGGAAAACTGGATGGTCTGGGAGACCTTTATCTCGATTTCCGTCCGCTTGAGAGACGTTCAGGCAATCGCAAGAGGCCTCAGGATGCTCGTGCAAATTAATGCCGTCAGTTTCGAACGCATGGCCCATTGTAGTACCGTCATGCTCTTCCAGATGTTTGTTGCAGCAAAGTCTTAAAACCAAGACTGTGTGTACATGATTTACCAGGATCCGGGAGGCGTTGGCCCAGTGTACTACAACACGCACCTTTCAGAACCTCAAACTTTAAGGCCTTGGTGGGCTATCTTTGCGCTTTGTGTTGTCACAGAAGGCGCATATCGATCCCTGGATCTACAGTTTTCTAGAGGAGTTGGTTTCATTTGAGCTTAAGCGTCTGGCCTCACGGACATCGGAGGACAGTGAAGATAGAGCTGAGGATGGCAAGGTGCCCGGCGTCCTTCGCCAAACTCTCAGCTGTCTTCAATTCCTCGTGCAGCACGTATCTGATTCTGCCGAGCTCTTTCGTGTGTACGGGGTTCTCCTCCTAAAAGCGCAAAAACCTGCGGAAGCTGTGTACAACTGGTTGAAGGAGTTCCGAACCCTCCAGGTACAACCCACACCCCAGGAGCCAAAGCCCCACAGCGTTCTTGTCGATCGACCACGAAGTGTGTGGTCATTTACATGCCCACATGCGTAAATGATGGGCCGCAAAGGCATCGCCAGGTTTGCCCTCTTGGCCAGTGGTGTGTGTCAAAGAACTGGAGATTTGCGTGCAGGCTGAATTGACCAGAGGAAATGCCTCGATTTCCTGTAAATTAGAGCTAACAAACAAGCAGATCTCATGTTTGGAGAGAGCGCTCTCTTTATTGGAGACGTTTAGCCCCCAAAGCGAGAGACGGTGATGAATTTATTTTCTATGCCCCAAGCATATACGTTTCAAAAGCATCCTCGACTCATCGATGCACAAGCGCTTGTCAGGGACTAGGGCGAGCAAACTTTTCACGGATAGCGTCGTCTTGAGTGGGGGGTTTCTTTGTTACTGTCTGCAGAAACGATCTGCTACAGCAGATGAAAACGACCGTTGAAACGCACCAGAGCCGGATAATCCCGGAGGCCGATGTAGCCAAGGAACGCGTAAGCGTAACTTAACTCCCGTACCCTACGAAGGTTTCTAATAAAACAAGCATGGAGCGCCATTGTTGCTAGCTTGTTCGTTTCGCTCTGGTGTTTCAGCGCCATTTTACGGCCAGTCTAGTGTTATGGGATCTGCTGCTTGGGTGTCTTGCAGATGGAGTTGATATCGCTGCGGATTTCGGCTCTCCAGCAAAGAGCAAGAGATGCTCGCTGCCAAGAGGGCAAGAATGCCACCCCAACCGACTGAAGCAGCAGCAGTGTCCCTCTTGTGCTGCTGGCTCACGTATTTGGGCAACCTTTCATGACTCCTCTTCACCACAACTAGCTGTAGGAGTTTCAGGGCTCGTTTGTCTGTTTTCGGGCACCGAAGGCGTTAGGCTAATCGACCAGCTGCGCGCTAGACAGGTATGGGCAGTACTAACTGAGCCCATCCATATATCTGCGCGTTGCTAGTTCCTTTGTGCCGCTTTCTTTGTCCGTTTAACGATACATATTGACTGATCAGGGGTGCAAGCATGAAAGCACCTGCAGCTATTGCTGTGCCGCCCCTTTCAGCCTCAAGGAAGACGCCAAACACGGGGGGCACTTCAGCCTCTCAGACGTATGTCCTCTAGATTTGGTAGATACCAGAAGCTCGGAAAATGCGAACAAGAAGCTGCTCGTTATTCTGATTGCTTACTTGGATAAAAGCGGAAAGTGGCAGTGTCAAAGAACGGTAAATAGAAGTTTTTCCACTCTTCGTAGCCCACCTCTAAGGTCACGGTACGGTAACAGTTAATTCCTAACTCAAAACAAACTTGCTTTTCGTTTTCTTGATTGTGTTACAGAAGATCTTTATCCTTCTTCTGTACGCGCCACTCATTTCCTGAGATGAAGAGAAATGGGCATCTGGGGTGCGCCTAGCTGCACCCTCTTTGCACACCGAGCTTGCACATAGCATTTAGCACACCCTCACACAACACTGCGACTTGTTGTATCCAGCTACCAGTTTCCTGCAAGTAGACATAAGAACAGACAAATCAATCAGTCAGCTTTTAACGAATTCGTTGTTAAATATAATTAGGGCAGTAGAAAGTGCCTCTGTGGAGCTTAGCCCGCCACTCGCATGGTGTTTCTGTAGCAGTAGGGCGATGTTGCACTGATGCGATTCGCCATCTAAACGTGCTACGGGAAGGTGAGGGCTAATGGCCTTGATTTTCTTATGTAGCACGAACAGCAGCTGGCGAGAGCGTTTTTGACCCAGTGGGAAAGATTAATTCTCATTATTAAGACGGCCCCCGATCACGTAACCGCTACAGCTATTGCTGCCGTCTACGGCCCACGCACGCTGACTCTACATACATCCTTGGGGCTAATTTCTTCTGGTCTAACACTACCTGGGCTTGGCGTCCTTATCAGATAAGCATGCACTGTAGTAAAACGGACCTCCAGGCATAGCTGAGAGGTATTGGAGCCCAGAAATAAATGCGACGCCTACAGAAATTCTTGGTATATGCTGTGTTTTCAATAATGCTGTCATGTGCTCGATGTCCGAACACATTGTCGCGTGATCCAGGGGTAGGCCAAGCTAATTCTTGCATACGCTCTGCAAGTGACTGAGCACGACTGTTTCATAGGACTGAAAATTTTAACAAAGAAGCGAATTCATCACTTTACAATCGGGGTCACACAGTTGAAGGCGCACCCAAAATGGCAGTTCCATGAACAGAAGAAGTTATCTGCCTACGGGGAACGGACAGTGGTCTCTACTTCCTACGTCAACTTAGGCCAGGACGCGTGATGCTCGTTCTTGGGGAAGATAACCATGAGAAGATTCACTATCTCTCTGTTTTCAAGCAAGTATGTTTGGCTCAGATGGTATTTTCTATCTTTTTAATCTCACGTAGGTAGAATTGGTGTCCACCTTGCTCTGCTTGGGTCCGTTGGTTACGTGCCGCTGTGCAGCCAACGCAAAATAGCAGCGCCCCTGAGCTGTCTTCTAGATTAAAAGGTATTACGCTTCTCTCTCTGGCTCCATTTACTTCAGGTTATATCTGTTAGAAGATGAAGCTGATTTTCGGCGTTTTTCACCTCTTTATTTACCTTGTGACCGGGGTCACCGATGCAAGATTGAACAGCCCATACGAACACCAAGAGGAAGTCCAGCAGCCCACGGTTTCTCCACGTTATGAATATGTGGACGAAGTATTTCTTCACGCATTTGCTGAGGTATTGAAGGAGCAATACGGCATACATTTGCCCATTTTCTGACCTGTATACCAGGCAGACAAGACGAAGCAACCAGCACATGGATCCCCAATGCCTCTTCCGTGTCTTGATAAGGTATAGTGTTTTGCCCCAACTTCAGGAAGAAATGGCAAACAGCGATGTAAGGCGAAGAACTCAGCCCCAGCCTATCTGTTTCTCGTGCCTCATGCACTGTCCGCTACTGTATTTTCTACCAAAAGCAAGGCGAAATCATTCATGAATCAACTCCTGTGAGCTGTAGTGCAATGCCATATCTACGCAAGACTAGGTGAAACTGAAAGGAAAAGGGCATGTGACATGAAATCACCATGCACCGGGTCCTGTGCCTCCTGACGGCCCACAGTCGTATGCCTGGTGATATCACGAGGAAAACCGCAGAGCAGCTCCAGTGAGAAGACTGTCTGAGACCAAATCCGAGTGAAGCGGCTTCTGCAACACATTTTTCGACTAACTGAACCAAAACAGCCGAAGTTCAGTCTCTAGATGAGCAGAACATGCATAGGGCAAGCAGAATAAGTTTTTACAGCATACAAAAATTCTACAAAGTTCTACTAGGTTCCTGAAATCTAGCTATCCACTATTCCCTTGAACACGTTCTAATGCGTTGATTGTCTTAGCTAGAAGAAGTAGCGTATTTACTACTTGATTCATGTGTCTAAATATCGTCTTGCTTGCAAAGCACTGTCAGCCTGATACAAGAAGACGCAAAGTTGTGTGCTTGGGTGCTATAGGCTGTGCGCAACTACCTGTGAATACTCACAGCGATTAGAAGGTGCAGCTCGGCAGTGTGTATGGATGGCCCAGTCAGGGGAAGGAGGAGTTCTTTTGGGGAAAAATAACATGCCATTAAGTTTATGGTGGGTGTAGGGTAAACCATCTCCTTGCGGAGACTTTAAACGAAACACAACATATATGGAAAATTATTTGTATCCTCCTCTTCATAAAAAAATACACGCGTTTTGGCACGTTTTCCGCCCAGTATAACTGACTGTTTGCTCTCTCTTATAGCAGCTATCAATGGTAATACTCCTAGCAGTTGACCTGTAGCGAAAACTGGGAGCCGGAGAAGGAAAAGACGATGAAAAGAGTATACCAAGTATTCAGCACTTCCTCGTATACCTGATGCTGAAATGGTTGTTCTTCGCACGTCCTGAAGCTGGCAAAGATCAGTTTTGCACGTAGATCTCAGAGCTACACGCTTTTTACCTCACCCCTTGAACCACATGAGTGTTGCAAGATTGTGCAATTTCTGAACTGCGGTCGATTTGGGATGCAAAAGATGCTTGCTTCTGTTGATAATTGCTTGTGATTCAATAACATACCCATCACAAGCTATTACTAATTGCAGGAAAAAGACGGGGAAGCGAGCGATTTGTCCTATATGCATCCTGACCCATCCAAGTTTAATACTGCCTCCATTCTTCTCTGCGAACAGAGTTCTAAAACTTTCACAAGCCCAAAGATGTGCCTGAGGCACGTCGTAAAACTCATTTTTCTTCACAGAGTCCTTTGTGTGTTTCCGCAGTCATTAGGGCCTTCAGTGATTGTTTTTGACGTTTCGATGCTCTTATGTCAGGGGCTATGGGAACCGCTTTGCACTAGGCTTTTTTTCCTTTATTCTTATGTTTATTAGGGCCTTGAAGAGGCATTTACGAGTGCCAGATCTTTTAGTCACACCTTGGACCTTTTTAAGCGAGTACCCAACCTTCTAGCAAACCAGCTTCAATCCATAGTTACTTCGCAAATTGAATCCGAAAAGGTTTCAAGCTACTCGCTTTGTCCTTAGGGAGTAATCAACTTCACAGTTACACCCTTCCTTAGTGTAAAACATCTAATCTCCATCCTCACGACTTACAAAATGTTACTTCTTTGACACACCGATCCCAGCAGAACACATCCTAAAATGCTTTATGGGAACCTGGCCGCTATGACTAGTCCTGTTAGCCTCCAATATATTCTTTGTCGAAGCAAGTTGTACGGGCAACCGAACTAGAGAAAGTTGATGATCTGAAGCATGGCTTACGGATACCGTACGCCAGCTCACTGAATTTCATTAGCGAGTTCAGCCCTTCGCTTCCCGCTGAACTTCTTTCCCTTGTCAAAACCCACTCATTTAAATTCCCTCACAGCAAGTGCATAATGCTGTGCAAACGCGGGCTTTCCCCTGCGGTGTTCCACAGGGTCCGCTGGCCTTGCATGCTGTTGTCCACCTCCACAGGATGGAAGATATGGCTTGATGGCATTACAAAAGCTTGATACGGGTAGGAAAACGATCCAGACACAATGCAAGTGTTCTCCTGGCTCGGTTTCAAGGCCTCCAAATGAGCTGTTATGTAGTTAGGCTCCAGCCACAACAGTTAAGAGTTATGGCATACCCGTGAAAAAAACCAGGAATAGACATCTGGTCATGGACCCCTAAATTCTTCTATAGGAACGGCGGTGGAGTTCAGATTCCCTCCATACACCAGCTTCTGCTGATATTACCCACTGCAGCTCCTATGTCCAAGAAAGTAGCCGCTGAAATCGAGACTGATTTATTTCGCTGTGCGCCCCAAGGTGTCCATTTCAATCCATATCTCCTGTTCCACACCAGGAATACTTAACATTTTGAGTGGTTTAAGAACAATTTTCAGATCACATTGAGCTTGTAGCTCTGGGGGTCATCGCTACGAGCACCTCCAGCTGATTCCCCCTTTAAGACATAATGAAAATCAGGAAGACAGAAACCCTTTGGTTTCATGTGCATCAATTTTGCCTTAAACTTCATAAAAAGCATGCCCTTCGAACAAGAGGGCTGGCTTACGTCGATGGAGCTTAACATTATTATACAGCAAAATAAAACAAATCAACAGCCATTAAAATTAATTTGGCTGCAAGCAAAGCGATATCGCAACCGAGACCCTCGCCAATGAGTCAAACAGAGCCAACTTCAACCCCTTCAAAGGAGGAACAGAGAAAGCGCGAACAAATGATTGTCAGCGATGCCCTGCTTTTCTCTAGCTAGTTGGAGTATTTTCCTCTTCTCTCTAACTTGGTCAGCAAGTCTGTCTGCGTGCTCACCAAGGAATTTCTCCGCAAGCATGTCGACTGTATGGTCGTTCCACTTCTGTGCAGCATGTCTCAGCACACTCCTCACTGATCTCTCCTTCGCCTTTTCAAATTTGATTCCAAGGGTCCTAAGGAACACATTGGTTGCGAAAGGAGTCTCGTCGCATGGGGTTTTTAACGGTCTCGCTTGCTCTACGTAGTCCTGCTCCATCAAAATCAGGCTCAATCCGAAAGCGTTTACCACCGGCTCAAATTTCTCACACACAGAATAATCGCAATCTGTAAACTTATCACCCATCCGAACCACGTCCGAAAACTTCCTAGCAGGCCTTCTCGAAATACAAGCCTCATCGCTCGCTACAGATCCCTCATTCGCATAGCGCAAGTGTCCCCTTGGTATCAAATCCAGGAATTCGTGGAAGGTCATTGCAATATCCTTCTCGGCTTCCCTCAGAATAGGCCAGCTTTTTGTGGCAGGCTGATCAAGTACAGGGACAGGAATTCCATGTTCAGATGCAAGCAAGTCCAGTCCTCCAAGAAGTCGAAGACGTTCATTTGCACCTCTACAGAGAGCTGAAAGTAGTTTCAGGTGCGTCAGATACTCCCACTGCTGTTCCCTGCTAGCCCCTTGTCCTGGCCTCACAGCTTGCTCCATGGCACGTATGTGTCGCTCGTATGATTCCCTTGCCGCGCTCTGACTTAAGTATTGCTGGTCCTCACTGCTTGGCATATAGTACTTTATAAATGCAGATTTCACCCGGTTTGAGGCAGCATTCCACCTCTTATTCAGGGTCATACTCTCCATTCTAAACTGCATTAACAATTCATCTATATTTAACCCGTCCAGTGGCAAGGGGGGAAGTGCTGCCACTTTCTTTGGCATCGACCTCCGTTTTAGTGCTACAGCTACACACACCACAGCCAATAACGAGAGAGCAAAAAACATTGCTTGTTTTATGTTCTCACTCTTATTTTTTAGTAATGGTGCAGAATTCTTTTCCCTCTTTTGTAGATCCGGTTCTATTTCACTTCCTTTGTGGCTCTCGGTACCAAATTGTGTCCCTCGGAACTGATCTTCCATTAGTAGGCCATCCCATTCACCGCCGTAAGACTTCAGTTCATCAAATGAAGGACTCACAGCCGGCAAGCTTGCGCCCGTCATGGAAGGATCCTTCGTTGAATTTTTCCGGGAGGTGCCGACAGCTTGGAAGCCCGCCATTGTGATTAGCGAACATAAAATGAACGCAGAGAGAGACACCTAGAGCCCTCAGCTTTCTGAAAAATTGGGAAAATACTTTTTGAAAACAAAGATGAATTTGGAGGAGTCGCCGAGAGCATTTGCCGTGCCAATGCCGCACGTGGCTCCAGCAACACCTGCCTGCAAGGGCTTTGCCGGGCTCCAAGCCGTCTCCCTACCTGTAAATGTTAAAGCAACCTGCAAGCTTGGCGAATCGCATAGAAATATCAATGCGCCATATCTCAAAGCGAAGATATTGCAGGTTTCATCGTAGACTGAGAAAAAACACCCGACAAAATAATGAAAACCCTGTGCAACAGTCTTCGAGTTGTAGATAATAAACCACCCTTTAAACTGGTTGTAAATGCACTTCCTGCCCATTGCTCAATAAAATTTGATAGGAGCTGATGTCAGCTTAGAGAAACTGCTCTGTATGCGCGTCCATCACGGGGTACTTCAGTACAGCCGCTTGTCATCGCACAGTCCTGAATCCAAGAAGGGCAGTGCAGAACAGGAAGCCTGTATACCACTTTGAAGCCGGGAGCAAGGGTAGTGCCTGCCCAAGATGAGGCAGAAACAAAGCCGTGGAACGCAAGAGGTCCCATCGGAAATTTTATGAAAAAACATTTCCAGCCCACAGTCTCGATAAGCTTCCTGGATATTTCCCAATAGAGCTACAAACAACTTACTCAGTAGACGTGAAGAGCGTTCACATGGCTGATCAGATAAGTTGACCCTTATTCTTAGCCCCAAATTCACAGATATCCCAGCATTTTGCAAGGAATATCCTAATGGTTGCAAGGAATTGTGCCTATTAAACTGTGTGAGCATGTATCCAGTCGCATAAAGAAAGCTAGTGCGCATGCATAGAACATATTTTCCTAGCGTCAGGCTACGCCATCCACAAAGTATGCGCTTCATAGGAATACCTAAGCTCAAAAGCTCCCTCTTAGGTCTACGTAAGAAACATCCGGGAATCAGAACACTCTCTTGTACAGCAGTGTCTCCACGGTGCAAATGCAGTCGGGACATGCCGCATAGTTCATCTCCATACCCTGAAAGAGACCTAACGGCATAATTGTAGAGCCAATCTACTTGAGAGCGTCTGGCCACAAATCCACATATGGAAAACACCTTGGTAAACGCCAACCTT